TTGTATTCATATCAAAATTAACCCATGATTACACATGAACATCTAAAATATATTATGCATCTGAAGGCTAATGTGAGATGGAATTCACAGAAAGTGTGCACTGACTCCATTGTCCACAATCCTACCAAACCAGTGTCTGGCTTCTGACACAAGTATAACACAATTGATATTTAAGGAGTTAAAAGGAGTTATGGATGATAGAGTATCATTTACAATTTAAGTGTCAACATTTGATACAAGGACACATTTGAGTGCGAGAAGTATGTCAAAAAGCTCAGTTTGAAGGGTAGAGGTCAAATTATTGGTGGATTCTCCAGTTTCTTGATGAGAGTCATCATTCTGTATGGCAACAGCACTGCCAGCTGCACCAGTGTATTGGTGAACAGAACCATGAATACAATTTGTGAAAATGTGTGCTGTGTGACTAAGGCATCGTTTTCATCTTAAGACATGCTGATTGGCTTCAAGGCGAAGCTTATGGTGTGATTTAAGAAGTTCTTTTCTTGGGGGGTAAAGAGGAATAGTGATTTGAAACGGGGATAATTTTCTATGGAGCGGGAGTATCGCTGTTGCCTTATTTGACGTACAGTAGATCATGTATCTGGTTCATGCGGGGTCCGTTCCCGTTTTCATGGTCCATTTAGACGAGTGCTCACTAGTGCTGAGGAAAGTTTGGAGGACTTCTATCAATCACATAGTGACTTGAAAAATGCATGTGAGGCTTTTTGAGATAATGTCAGGTATACAATAAAGTTACGTGATTCCTGTGTTGTGAGGTAGGTTGGCTTTGCCTCGTTGAGTATTATATATGCCATTTTTTTTTTTTTTAGTTTTGTAACTCACAGTATTATGTCCCACGGTGCCGGTGACATCGATTAGAGAGGCTTCTAGGTACCGTTGGCGTCTAAGGTCATCTTCAGTGGGCTCGTGGTGTGCCTCATTCCAACTTATCATATGTCCTGTGGAGGTCACAATCGTTCTTTATGTTGTCCCTGTCACAGGCGCTTCCATGTTCACTTAGACGGACCGAAGCATTTCTGCCTGTTCCCTTTACATATTTCTTGGGGCACTGTTCCTAGAGAATGATGTAGACATTGCGAATGGAAGTTTGGAACTTCACTGTGCCAGCCAGTGGCTTCTTCAGTCCATTACAGAGAAAAACGGTGGAAAATGAGAGGCTTGATGTAATTAGTCGCTCAACTTGGAGTCGATTTGGTCATTCCAGGGACGGATCCGTTGAGGGAGCTGTGATGAACTGAAGAAGCCAATAGCTTGCGAAACGTCTCCGATATAAATATCACCATACATCCTCGGATGACGGTAAAACAGCTAGCTCTGCTGGCTGTGCCATCTTTGTAGGATTCGGTGGTCCTGTGGGTTTAGGCGTCATGTGGTTCTGGCTCACCATGAAGGAAGGCCAGTACAATATGGGTTCAAATCCTTGGCTACCGCAGTATTGTTATTGATCAATACCACTCGTTCGTGGTTACAATAATATATAATTGCTGCTCGTGAGGCTAGTACACCAAACAGGGATGAGAATGAAATTAGCTTAGAAGCTCCCACATTACCATATCTCCTCGGGTGGCGGTAAAACATCTAGCTCTGCTGGCTGCACCATCTTTGTAGGATTAGGTGGTTGTGAGTTAAGCCATCATGTGGTTCTGGCTCACCAGGAAGGCGAGCCAGTACAATATGGGTTCGAATTGTTGGCTAGAGCAGTGTTGTTATTGAGATTATTTATATATATATATATATATATATATATATATATATATATTATATATATATATATATATATATATATATATATATATATATATATATATATATATATATATATATATATATATATATATATATATATATATATATATATAATATATATATATATATATATATATATATATATAATATATATATATATATATATATATATATATATATATATATGCGCAATAAGATCACAGTAAACAGGTGATGAAGCAACTGGACTCTGCGCCATAAATCTTCATGCAGTACACACTAGTGGTAGTAGTAGTGGCAGTGGTAGCGGGACGTAACTAGCGCAGTGAAGTGTATATAAGTACTTTTCTAATTAATAAATACTTAAGATTGGTTTTAAAATTGCAAAACCCTTGTTTAATATGACAGAGCAACAGAAGAGCATAAAACACAAATACGAACAAGAAAAGAGTGTTTTAACCATCAATGGAAGGGCGATTTTTCTTTTACTGTTAAGATTGAAAAGTCTCTGTGCTTTATCTGTCATGCAACCATCAGCCACTTTAAGGCCAGTAATTTAAAGCTTCACCATGAATGTAACCATAACAAATTTGCATGTGAATTTCCTCCTGAATCAGAACTGCGTAAAAATAAGATAAAAATTTTGAAATTAGATTTAGTCATTCAACAAAATAGCTTATTTTCCCTTTGTAAGCTAAGTGATTTGGCTACTGAAGTTTTGTTATAGCTTAGAATATTGCTCAAACTACCTTACAGTCAAGGAAAATTTGTAAAAAATAAGAATATCAGTGATATTGCAATTCGCTCCAGAGAACTCAAAACTTAAATTTGTACTAGAAAAAAATTATTTTCTAGCGCTGCACTATTGAGAGACGTATTTCTGAAATTAGTTACTATAATCGTATTTTCACTCTGCAGTGAACATACGATTATAGTGCAAAGTTGCGTTACTTTCAGCTCAGCATTGGATGAATCTACAGATATTCAGGATATTCCTCAGCTTGCTACATTTGTTCACTATGTTACAAACGATGGAAATGTGTAAAAAAAAGAATTCTTAAGACTTGATAAGATTAAAGGAAACCACAGAATGTAATGACACCAAAAATACACTTAACAAAGCTACTATCATTGCATAAACTTGTTAACATTTCAACAGACGGAGAACCTGGTGGCCTGGTGGTCTGTCAGGTGGCCTGGTGGTCTGGTGGCTAAAGCTCCCGCTTCACACACGGAGGGCCCGGGTTCGATTCCCGGCGGGTGGAAATTCCGACACGTTTCCTTACACGTATTGTCCTGTTCACCTAGCAGCAAATAGGTACCTGGGTGTTAGTCGACTGGTGTGGGTCGCATCCTGGGGGACAAGATTAAGGACCCCAATGGAAATAAGTTACAGTCCTCGATGACGCACTGACTTTCTTGGGTTATCCTGGGTGGCTAACCCTCCGGGGTTAAAAATCCGAACGAAATCTTATCTTATCTTATCTTAACCAGCTGTGGTAGGTCAAAATACTGGCCTAGTTGGGCAATTGACACATGATCTCCTCTATCCTAAACGTCTCTTGATCCACAGTATCATCCACTTTGACCATTTAGTAAGTGAACACTTCAAGTTTAACAGTGTCATAAATTATATTTTAGAAATTGTCAATTTCATTTCGACAAGTACAAAAACATACCGTGAATTTAGAAATTGTATTGAGGAGCTGGAGAATAAGTTTGTTTCTCTTTTTTAATCAATCATTGGTTTTATAAGAGAAAAGAAACGAAATACCCACAACTAGAAGATCACGAATGGGTACAGGACCTAATGTTCTTCACAGATGTAAATCATCACCTGCAGTATCTAAATCTGGCACTTCAAGGAAGGAACAAAGTTACTACAGAACTTGCCCAATCAGTTTTCATAATAAAAATAAAGATTTTCAAAGAGATATGACACCAAAGAAATTTGACCACTTTCCCAATCTTAAATTAAGAATCACTGCTTTTTTTGATGTTCAAATTAATTAAAGACAATTCGGTGGAAAACTAGAAATATTTTATTAAAACTTGCCCATCCGTTCAATATAAACAGTTATAACTGTAAGACTGAACTAGATGTTCTGTATAACCAAGGTTTTTAAACACCATATTACTAACACCACCAGTTATGTGCTAATTATAAACCATTCTTGTAGAAAGTTTTTCTTTTATCAGTAGTAAAGAATTAGTAAAAAATATCTCCTTGATACTGGCCATGTAGTCAGAAACTGTAAGGCTGGAGGTGCTGTCCTGGGAGACAGTAATGGTGAAGCTGGAGGTGCTGTCCTGGGAGACAGTAATGGTGAAGCTGGAGGTGCTGTCCTGGGAGACAGTAATGGTGAAGCTGGAGGTGCTGTCCTGGGAGACAGTAATGGTGAAGCTGGAGGTGCTGTCCTGGGAGACAGTAATGGTGAAGCTGGAGGTGCTGTCCTGGGAGACAGTAATGGTGAAGCTGGAGGTGCTGTCCTGGGAGACAGTAATGGTGAAGCTGGAGATTTTGTCCAGGTAGTCGGGAATTATACGCAGGAAGGAATGCATATAAATGACCTCGTGGGAGACAGGAGCCGTAGTGGGGAAACAAGTGTAGTCAAAGATAAGATAAAACCAATATTGCAAACCAAAAATACCACAGGAAATGGCAAACAAGAGGACTCCACTAGCAATAGTGAGGATATATTACCAAAAACAACTGGTGGGAGCTCCATTGTTGGTGCTAGGGAGGATAGGAATAAGACAGGTAAACATGCACCAACAGGGAATACAGTCACAGAAACCCAAGGCAAACGGAAACCAAGCCTGTGCACATACTATGCACTTGGTATCTGCAAGCATGGGAAATCTCGAAAAACAGATGGGACGTGCAACTATGACCACCCTAGAAAATGCCGTGCCCATATGACAACAGGAAAATGCAAACTCCTTTCCTGTAAGCTTTTTCACCCTGAAATGTGTACCTCTTCAGTACAGGAAAGACTGTGCTATAACTAAAATTGTCAGGCACACCATCTAAAGGAGACAAAAAGATACAAAACATCCAGGCCATGGGAAAACCTGGGTAGCCACAGCCACTCAAGAGGGAGAGGTTTTTTAGTGCCAGGAAGGAAAAAAATCTAGCAGGAAATGGCAGAAATCGTACACCAAATCCAGTCATTCCTGGAGTGGAACCACAGTCGATGGCCTCCACTCCAAACCAACAGATACAGATACTAATGCCGGAAAAAAAATTCCCC